TTATTCAACAATAAATTTATATAAATTCAGTTATTAATTATATGAATTCATTTTTTTCTCATATGATATATCATTTTAAAATTTAGAATATACATATGGTAGTGAACTTTCAGGGTATCATTAAGTTTAACATGCCTATACACTAGTGTATATATATATATATGAACATATATGCATACATATATATAAACATTTCTATATATATTTGGTATAAACAGACTTACGCGCAGAGGGCTTTAATGCTTTTGATTTCATTCCAGGATTTTTTCCGTCTCTTGATTGACAGTAATGGCATTTTTGCGACTCGTCGAGCGGAAAATGCTGAAAAGCTGCGCGCTGACACGACAACGCGAGTCAATAATAAAAATTGCATGTTGAAAGCACATTTGGGAATCCCAAAGTCACACACAAAGTCAGCGTCGCAGTTGCTGTTGACGTCGCTGCCGCAGTCGCAGCGCAGTTGTAGTCGTCGTCGTCGTCGTCGTCGTCCTCGTCAACATCGCTGCGGAAGCAGCACAGTTGTCACCCCTTAGCCGGCAGAGAAGCGTAAATGAAAACCCTTTTGGCCGCGTTTTCCAGTTAATTTATTTTTGGTTAATTTCCTTCGTTTGTTATTTTAGTGCCCGCCACTTGCTCTACCCACACGCACCCACTCCAATAAAAGCAAAAACAAAAACCATATCATACCATAGCCGAACATAATCCAACCCATGCTCCAGCATTTATTGCATTTTGGCAGGAACGCACTCAAGCAATTTATAAAGCGCAAAGGTTAATGGCAATACGTGAGGCACAGAGCAAGAAAACGAGCAGACAGGAATACAGGATCTACGCTCCACAAATTAAAAGTATTATCTAAAGCTTAACAAAAAAAGAAAACAACAAAAAATAGAACTATAAAAAACCATATGTAAACTGAAACGTGTAAATATACGTACATAAAACATATAAATATGATATAGAAATAATAATAAATTAAAGAGTACAGAAGTTATTAATAATTTTTTAAGAAATATTTTTAAAATATGTAATATATTAATCTATGTTCAAGTCTGTGAATATATTAAATGTATCAATACTTGATTTTGTACTAGTCTCATTTCATCATAAACGTATAGATTCGTTTTTCTTTTATAATCAGTATCAGTATCAGTATCAGTCTGGTCTAGCCATATCGTTAAAGTTATTATGTACATTTTAAAGACTTTGAATTGTCAAAAAATCGTTCAACTAATACCAATTATATATAATCTATATAATCTTCTTAATTTTTTTTTTTTTTTTTTTTTTACTAACGAAGATAAATCAACTTTACTAAGTAAATCATATCTAGTTTAATAGTTTAAATAGAAATTTATTAGATTTAATATATACCACATATCAAAATTAGCTTCTGCTAAACAGAGGTTTTCTGCTTTTATAATATCTTTAGCTAAGTAAGCATTCACAGTCAGGAATATATATATAAATACTTGATAGGGTCTACCACGCCGCACCTTAACAGTTTCGCAATTTCTTAAATAGCTTCAGTTCTAATATTATTATTATCATAATTAAGTTTATTTCTATTCTCAAATATAGTCAACCCCATTTCTCCTATCAATAATATTTATATCAGAAACAATCTGCAATTCATTTCAAAATCACTTGCAAGCCCTTTTTTAAATATAATTGGGTTATTTACTTTTCAAGCGTGGCCAGTTTGGCCATTTCCTTGTTTTTAATTTCATTTTTATGATTTTTTTTAAACTTACACAAGGCTCTTGAATGTAATAAAAAATAACGAAACATAAATATCATAAACAACTGTGCGCAATACTTAACATAGCTAGGGCGAGAGCAAACGAAAATAAAGATGGAAAACAATATATAAAATATATATCAGCAATAATTTGAAGCATCAATTTTTTATTGCCGCTGGCAATCATTTAATCATCTCGAGTCATCAGTCGCCCTACCTCCCCATCTATCTCTCTCACTCTCTCTCACTCTCACTCGCTCGCTGAGCTGTTGGTGTGGGGTATATTTTGCAATTCGCTGGATGGGGCAGGCAGAAGTTACTCCCAGCGCAGCTTCAAGTTGGGCTCTGCCATGGCCAACTCTGGCTTTAGCAATGGGCCATCAGCCCATTTGACACATGTGTCACTTGCCAGCGTTTCGGTTTCACTGTATAGCTCTCTCATTCCCTCTCGCTCGCTCTCTCTCGTTCGCTCTCGCTCTTGGTTGTAGCCTTCGGTTGACAGCTGTCAGTGTCAGTTTACATAATTTATAGATTTCAGCGCATAAAAAAGTCATAAAATTTACAATGTTGCTTTCAACAAAAACACATTCAGCCTGCCTGCCTGCCTGCTGCCTAGAGCCTGGTCCTGGCATACCCGATTCTTTTGATGCCTTATTTTTATGAGCGAAGACATCAATTTTCGCACAGCAACAGCAACTACAATCTATATACATATACATTTATACATATACACAGACAAATACATATATGTATAGATTGTATATTTATCTGCGTATTTCTCTATTTCTTCAATACTTGTTTGTATTGCCAATGGCATTCGAAATGCTTTTGATTTATTTGTATTTATGTGATTCCTTTCTCATATTCAGCTTCAGCGATAAATCCTCGCACTCAACAAAATACATAAACGATTTATAGTTGAACAAACGGCACAAAATGCAACAATAGCAAAAAAAAAAAAAAAAAAAAAAAAAAAATACAACAGCAAAAAAAGCAGGACAAGGGGCACAGTAGCTAACGGCCAGCGCCTCAGCTATAGGAACAAGTTTTCCTGCTGTTACCAAATCCCGGCGCAACATAAATCTTTAATGGAAAATCTTGGCAGCAGGCGAACGACCATATGCAGCGAGGGCAGTCCAAACAGAAACTGATATACCAAAAAATAAACAAGCAACAAAGCTTTTAGTCACTAGCTTATGTGGCTTAAAAAATGAATAGCAGACAGACTCAGCTCGTTGCCCTGATCCAGAATATATAGCTTAAGAGTCTGCCCAACTCATTGAGCTTTTTAGTTGGTTTGGAATAGAACCATTATAGCCTGATTTTACATTTTCAATGGATCTATGGGTATAAAAGAAAGAAAAGAAAATTTCCTAAGCCACGCGAAACAGAGTTTGATAGCTGAAAAGTTTTTCCTTTTTGTTTTCTCAACTGATATTCGCAATAATGAAGAGAACAAGAGAGAGAGACATTTATAGAGAGGATAACTTTTCACAAGATATTACGTCTTTGATTTTAAATATATCTAAATATAAGTCATCTCATCCCTGACCACTTCCACAATAATCTCCACCTTTCCTTTGATACTCTTCAACCCTCCATATACATACTTAAGAGAGCCGTTGCGCAATTCATAGTTCACTCGTTCATAGTTCATAGATCTTATTCTCATTTCATATTCATTCTTTTATCTAGTCTACACTAGTCTTTTATAATATAGGTTTTCAAGTTTCCTACTGAAATGCACCAATTTTACGAGTATAAGCCTGAAAAACACAAGCTGAGCTAAGCAAGCGAGGCAATTCTAGTTAGAGATATGAAAATACAATTACATTTTATATTCAATCGTGGAGAACTAAACAATTTTCTCCGCTCATCTGGTAGGCAAACAAAGTAACGGTTGAAATTTGAGAAATAGCTTAAGAAGCAAGAAAAGGAAACAGAACTGAAGAGGACGAGAAAGAGTACAGCTGGACTAATCAAAGCAGAGATAGACTACTTGAGGTAAAAAAGTGAGATATGAGTGAATCATCGACTACGGAAGAAAAGCCGGCATATGCATTATTCTTTGGCGGAATGGGCGCTGCCTCGGCCATCATATTCTCGGCACTGGGCGCCGCCTATGGCACAGCGAAGTCCGGCACTGGCATTGCCGCAATGGCCGTAATGCGGCCGGAGTTAATTATGAAGTCCATCATACCGGTGGTCATGGCTGGCATTATAGCCATCTACGGCTTGGTCATCTCGGTGCTGATTGCCGGCTCGCTGTCGAACGACTACACCATACGCAAGGGCTACATTCATCTGGCCGCTGGACTCTCAGTGGGTTTTTCCGGCCTGGCGGCGGGCTTTGCCATTGGCATTGTGGGTGATGCCGGTGTGCGTGGCACAGCGCAGCAGCCACGCCTCTTTGTGGGCATGATACTCATTCTGATCTTTGCCGAGGTCCTGGGCCTGTACGGCATGATTGTGGGCATCTACTTGTATACCAAATAAAAAATGAAAATGCATTAAAAATATTTGCGGTGGCAGCAACTTAAAGTGCTTTGAGAATTTCATTTGGCTGATGGCAGCGACACAGCAGTTGGCCCCTGATTCCCAGGCGTTGCGAATCTGTGTGGCACCTTATGACAACTTAACAATCACATCTGCTTGCAGAAGAAACGTACCCCAAAGTCCCAGTCATAAAAACCCGCAAGCCCCCCGTGGAAACTGAAACGCTTTACTAAAAAACATTCAAAATGCAAAACATTCCATGGCACACAAATAAAAATGTCATGAAGCTTCTATATCAGGCCATGGGTATGCAGGGATTGAAGAGTTTGTTGTTGTCGTTGCTACACACACACACACTCACACACATACACACTCACACACATACACGGACACAGTGAGGCTGCTCCCAGTGGTGCCAGAAACAAATTTCCATTTTGTTTTGTGCGAAGAAAATTGTCGCATTTTAAGCTTACGCCCAGAGCTCCGACCGAGGGAAGAGAAAGCACCGAAGACCCTCCCCTCGACAGGGGCTCATACTATATTCCAATTTGTTTAATTGAAACAAGTGCGGAAAGCAAGCAAATGCTGAAAGCATTCAAAGTATGCACAAAAAAGAACAGCAGGAGCAGCAGCAACAGCCAGCAAAAAAAAAAAAACAAAGGAAAAAGTGGGAAAAACCGCAGCTTCGATATTCAATAGTCAGAATTTGCTTTTGCGGTTTGTTTACTCGCCGGATAGACTAGCTAGGGTAGACCAAACCGCTAACACGAATTTCGCCATAAATTTTCACATTTTCTCTCTGTGCCATGGGTAGCCGGAAAATTTAACGGCACATAAAGATAAACCTCGTTAGCAGCAACAAAACACGCGGAGCGAAAGAAAAAAAAAATTGCATATTATATAATAGACATACATTTAACGCTTTGTGTTATCAACCAACTTGGGCATATCAGCACGCGCATAAATATTCGAATTATCATGCAAAAATTTTGAAAACCCAAATCACGGAAAAAGGTTAACTTGGATAGCCGAATATTGGATACACTTATGAGCATATAATAGTATGTTAATAGTATGATAGCATATTATAGTATGATAGTATGATAGTATGATAGTATGATAGTATGATAATATGATAGTATGATAGTATGATAGTATGATAGTATGATAGTATGATAGTATGATAGTATGATAGTATGATAGTATGATAGTATGATAGTATGATAGTATGTTATATGAATTGAATGTTCTATCAATCTCTCTCTCTCTGTCTTTCTCTTTCTCTCAAACCATAATAGGCTTATCGAAATTCATCATAACCAAACTAGTTTCAATCCAGTCATCTGTTAATTCGTTTTCTATATCCTAATCAGATTTAGAAAGGAAACAACTTGCAGCGACCCAATCGAAACAATCGAAGAGCTAACAGCAGAAGGAACATGTCCGCCGAGGCTGACAACGACAGTCCAAGCTATGCAATTTTTATTGGGGCTTTGGGATCTGCAACGGCCATTACTTTCTCAGCTCTGGGCGCTTCATATGGCACAGCGATGTCAGGTAGAGGCATTGCCGAAGTGGCCCTGATCAAGCCGGAGCTTATTATGAAGGCCATCATACCGGTGGTCATGGCTGGCATTATAGCCATCTATGGCTTGGTTGTGGCTGTCCTCATAGCCGGTTCGATAGGTGATTCATACTCTATAAAAAAGGCGCAAGCCCAGCTGGGCGCTGGACTCTGTGTCGGACTTTCTGGTCTCTCTGCGGGTATGGCCATTGGCATTGTTGGTAATACCTGTGCACGTGCATCAGCCAGGCAGCCACGCCTTTTTGTGGCCATGGTGCTCATCCTGATATTTGCCGAAGTTCTAGGTCTATACGGCTTAATTGTGGCCATTTTTCTATATACCAAGTTCTAAGTCTTTGACAATAAATAAAATAAGAATTTGAATTACACATGCTTTCCCTTTCATTGAATTTATGCATGTAAAATTTAAATTGAATAGATTACAAAAAAGATGAAAAATAGAAATTGCTGCATGTTCCATTTTCATTTAATTGCTTAACATTCTTACAAAATAAACAGATTTTTTTGTTTTCTATTTCTTTATTTATTTCCAATTCAAGACTATATAATTTTGTAATGAATATTCTATTTCCACTGGGTTWATTTAATGTACTTCTTCATATGTTCAATTCCAAATTAATTTTATTAGCTATTTTTCTCCTTTCATCACAATTCAACAATTTTATTTGTATAATAATTAAAATAAATAAATATAATAATAATTGGAAAATAAAATCTAATTAGTTGAATGATTTCCTCGTTTACACACATGTATTACACAAACATACATATTCCATTCCCATTTCGTTCCCCCAGCATACAGCATCATATTAACATTTCATTCCCTTTTCCTATACGCTGACTGCCTCAGCATAAATAAATACCCAATTTTTATGCTCGACTCCACAGCGTTTCACCTGGAAATGGGAAATTAATTAATATTTTAGGCATTTGGCATTGCCTTTGGCAATTATGTGGCCTATGTGATAATGGCCAACTGTATGCAGCAGATGAAAGCATTTTGTCATCATTTCACTTGATAAATGAGCCAGAAGCCATAAACATCATCAATGCGAATGGCCATAATCGCACTTAATGCTAAACAGAGTACGCCACAAACCTACCTGGTGCTGTGCCATGCCCTCAAATTGCTTGTTTATACAATCCCTCAAAATGATGCCTGTCAGCCATCTCAAGGATCTGAGCTGGAGCCCCATGCAGCTGGTCTCCCAGGCGGGTGACGTGAATCGAGAGATGAGAGGTTCAAGGTTGAGGGTGGCTGGACTCTTGGAGCATATGCGAAGGCTGGCGCGTGTGTCATTTTTTGGCAACTCAACACCAATTGGCATTAGCGTTGAGTGTGTTTGCATAATAAATTCGATAACATAAAATATCGATTCGATTTAACCGCAGCGCCTCCTGTGGGGCGGCCACACCCATCGAGTGTAATAAAACGAAATTTGCAATTTACTTTTGGATTCGAGGATTTATGTTTCACCTTCCTGCAGATAATTGTTTTCACTTCCTTTGCCACTCGACTGAACTTTTAATGCTGAAATAACAGTAAAAACGGCAAATGCGTGCGGTTAAGACATAGAACTGGGGGTAGTATAGGAGCAGAGGGGTGTCGAATGGATGAGAAAGAGTAGGAGGAGGAGGAGAAGCTACTTCTACGGAATCCTGCGTTTTGTATTGTGAGCGGTGCGACGTTAAGCACAAACGGAAACAGTTGAATATCCAAAATGTACGCCACACTCAGCAGGCAATCCTCAACCACCCACAACATCCCTCCCCTTCCGTCCATCGACCACTTTCTCTGCCAGGCTGACAAAGTGCTTAGCGAAATGGGTTTATTAAGAGCAAACACTTTATTCAAATGTTGAGTAACATAAATAAATATGTATTAACTGGCATTACTTAACTCCTCCTGCCACCTCTCAGCAGGTGACTAAAGAGCAAAAGTTAACTCTAAGCTATTTCTATAATTGATAAGAAATAAAATACTTTATCGATTGAGATTTATTATGCCAAAGGAATTTATGTGGACAGAAATGCCTGCCCTATATTATAATTACAAAATTATTCTTATTTTTGTTTCCTTATATGCAATTAAATAAAAAAAATTATCGTTTAATATCAATAAAGGAATTACTTAATTTTTTCTACGTTTCTCAATGGGAGATATAAGATAAAATTTCTATTTCCCCACGCCAAATGGGAATGATTCATATTTAGCCGTGCCATTACTATAATTGATAGGAAATTAAATACTTTATTAATTATGATTTATTGTTACCCTGATGTAGGGGACACTTAGACTAATTACTAAACGTTGTCTTTTAATAGACGGCGGTGATATTTCATAAAATTTTGTATACAAGAACTAGTTTATAGGGTTTTAAGGCATTCGACGTGCTGAAACAAAATATGAAACAGAAAAGGATATATGAGGTATTCATTATAAATTCAAGTCATCTATCATTAATATAACATTCTTTCATAGTGTAGTATCTTTAAGCATTTCAGCTTCCTTTTCAAAAAATTTTAAAATTATCTCTAAGATATCATCTTTTGATTAGTGTAAAAAATAATATAATTATAAAATATTATGCTTGTGGCTCATCTCTAGCCCAGTTCCAGTTGGTAATGACAACATTCTCCTAAATCATCCAAGCGAAGCAAATGGGC